GACTCCGGAGCCGGCCACCCCGCCCAGGCTGGCCCCCGCCCGCGCACACAAAGAGCAGAGCTGGTGGGTACGCTGGGCGCAGGGCGGGCAGCAGCCGCGTGGCCCCGAGAGGCCTTCGCAGGCGGGCGGGATGTGGGAAAAGGTAGGCTGCCAGACGCCGAGCCAGGCCCAGAGCTACCGTGCGGGAGGCGGGGGTCGCCAGGGATCTCTGGGATGGAGGGTCAGCTTGGGCCGACCCGTGCAGGGGTCCCAGAATCCGGTGGCGCCAGGGCTGGACCTGGAGGCGACTTAGATTACTTGCGGTTAACGTGAAGGCGGAGAGGAGAGCCTAGGGTCGCCGGACCCAGGAACCCAGAGCGCCCTTTGGCCCGTCTCTTCCTCTGGGTTCCGGAGAAGCCTCCCGAGCCCCGCCCCTTCCCGCCGCCCTCCCCACCCCCGCCCGGCCCAGCAGCGCCACGGGTCCCTGAGCGCCTGAGCGCGTGTGTGGCGGATGGGGGGCTTCGAGATGAATGACTGGCTGGCCCACGGCGTTTAGTCAACTGCCGGCACGCTCTAGCCTCCTTCTCTCACTGCTGGCTCTGTGATTCATTCATTCACATAGGCGTCCCTGACCAGTTATTGAGCCCCCACTGTGCGGGGGTGAATGTATGTCCCAGATAGGAGCAGTCTCCTGGGAGAGACTGGCCAGGAAACCAGCGATTAGAGAGTAATGAGAGGGCTGTGTGTTGGGGGTAGTCAGGAAGGGGTTCTGGAGGAGGTGATACCTGAGCTGAGTCTTCAAGGATTGTAGGGGAGTCAGTAGGGGAGGGGAAGCATGCACAGGGCCAAGGAAGCTGCAGCTGCAAAGGCAAGAAGCTTAGAGAGCCCCCTGGGGCTGGTGCCAGGGGCTGAAGTAGCTTATCCTGGCTGTGTGTGGTGGTGAGGGAGGCATGGGGAGAGAAGGGATTGGAGAGGGCCACCCCTGTGGTCACACAGGAACATAGCAGCAGTAGGTTAAACTGAGGACGGAGGGGGCCACTGGAGTCTATGTGTAAGGGCCTGGCAAGAAGGAGTGGGTGTGAAGTACAGGCCTGGCACAAGGACCATGCCCTATAAACTTTCACTCTATTAACATGAGATGTTAATTGATCTGATTTCAATTGTAAATACCATAGGCTGCTCTGGGAAAATGGATTAAAGGCAGGGAGGCCAGTTTGTAGGCTGCTGCCTGGTCCAGGAACAGAGCAGTGATGGTGGAGCACAGGTTTTCGCAAGTGGTGACTCTTTTGTGTGAGGCATGAAGGGAGGAGAGCAGGCCTTTTGATGCCAGGTGATGACTAGCTGGAGGTGCCTTCCTCCTCTCTACATACAGGATATAGAACAATGAGAGTAGGTTAGGGGACAAGGTACTCTGTTTACTTCTGCTGGACCCCCAGGCAGAGGTGTCTGGCAGGCCAAAGGCCCACGGTTGTGGAGCTAGAGAGTATAGCCCTTGACTACAGCTCTGTGAGCAATTAGGTAATGCCCCTAAGTCACCACCATTTCTCCTCATTCCCCCTCACAATTCCCTTGAGTTTGGAACAGTCCTTGGTGAGGCAGCCTGCGCCCAGACCTAAGATGTTGGATGAATATAAATTTGCACCTGTTCTGTTCCTAGAACTGCACTGCAGGTGAGATAGCCTATGGTTCTTTGCGCCGCGCCAGCGATCTGGGGGTCCTTAGAACACCATTTCCAGACTCACATGGCTCTGTGCTGGGGGAACATTTGAGGTTGTCCATTGTCCTCCCCATTCCTCCCGAGATCAGACTTGGGGGCACCTGGTCCACAGTAGGTAAATGGCACTGGATGACCCAGATCTTCTGGGACTGCCCCATCACCACCTCTATTGGAAACATC